CAGTTTACTACTGAAAAGTTTTAACCAAGAAGTGGTCACAACCAATCCTTAAAGGGTCTGGGGAGAGGGTATGATTTGAACAAACTTGAATCTACACTAACTTGGGGTGCTTGCATATTCCTTTGACTGCCTGTGGATATATTGCCCTTTACATTTGAACTTAACATTGTGACAAATCATGTCTTTGCCGTCTTCAAAAAAAAATTTACCTATATATTCCTTCGTAAAACTGTGGTCTTCCATAGTGGCCCCACCCTACTTCAGAGGTCATGATTTGGTCAAACTTAAAACAACACAATCTGAGGATGCCTTCATATAAATATGACTGATCATCAGTTTGCTGTTCTTGAGATTTTTAAATAATTTTTCTATATATTTCAATGTAAAACTTGGATATCACAGTGGCCCCACCTTAAGAATCCCCAGGGGTCATGATTTGAACAAAATTGAATTTACACTACCTGAGGATGTTTCCATATGAATATGACCAATCATGAATTTGCTATACTTGAGAAGAAGATTTTTAAAGCATTATCCTATATATTTCTATATAAAACTTCGAACACCCATTTTGACCCTGCACTATCCACGGGGAGTCATAATTTGAACAAACGTAAATCTACATTACCCAAGAATGCTTTCATTTAAATATGACTTATCATGACTCTGCTATTCTTGAAAGAAGATTTTTTAAACAATTTTCCTATATATTTCTATGAAAAACTAAAATTGATTAGCTATTGAGGCCCTGCCCTTCCCCCTTGGAATCATGATTTGAACAAACAGTAAATACAAACAATCATGTCTTTGCTGTTCTTGAGAAGATGATTTTTAAAAGAGTTTTTCTATACATTTCCAAGTAAAAAATTGATCGGTCATTGATGGCCCCAACCTACCCCATGGGTCATGCTTTTAACAAATTTGAATATACACTACCTGAGGATGTTACCACGTAAGTTTCAACTTTCTTGCATCAGTTCTTGCATCAGTGGCTCTTAAAATTTTTTAAAATTTGCTTTTTTTCACTATTTCTAAATTATCTCCCTTAAAAGAGGTTGCGGTCCATCATCTGAACAAATTTGAATCCCCTTCACTCAAGGATGCTTTGTAGCAAGTTTGGTTAAAATTGGCACCATGGTTCTTGAGAAAAATTAATTTTTTTAAGGGCACTGCCACTGATGGAAGGATAAAACCAATGAATGAAATTGTCTCTAAGCAATATATGCAACTTGTTTACTGTTCTTATCAGTTATGAAAGACAACGATCACACTTTCATGTTAAATATTCTACAGATATTGACAGTCAATACAGACTATGTGTCCATGCTTTCTTTAAGGGCAAATACTCATGACAATAATACAGTAGTTTTGCACAGAAAACAGCATCCTATTTGTTATTTCATTTTAAAAAAAAACACAAAACTGCAATTCGGGTTATATTATTTCATATTAAATTAAGACACATATCACGAACGACGACGAAAACAACAACGACAATGACTACAAGGACGACAGACAACGGACAATATTTTGATCAGAAAAGCTCACTTGAGCCTTCGGCTCAGGTGAGCTAAAAAGTAGAGAAAGAACGTCTTAGAAATAAAACATGATGTCCGTGTTCTTCACACAGCAGTTATGATTGTCTCCTTTAGTTCTACTTGTAAACTCTCGTATCAAACATATTATAAATAATTCAAACACAAAGTAAAAAAAATTAGTTTTTAAAAAAATTTTGTCAGATGTTAACCAAAAACTTTATAAATGTAATATATCAAATACTGTACTAAGAAATTAGAGAGACAACACCACGAGCGTTTGATTGTAATCTCTTGATTTATTCCAAGTTTTAAAAATTATGAAAAATAAGGCTCATAAGCAATTACAAATTGCCAAGATAGCTAAAATTCACGTAATATAGCTTAATTAATCAAGAGATGTGCTGCACCTTCATGTAACACAACCTGAGGAATGAAACTGAAAGAATAATCATGGCCATTAGGAAATTCTGAATAGCTACTTGAACTTCATTTCTAATCACCAGCAGAGACATATGTCTCTGTCACCAGGGATGTGTTTCCAACGAAATCTTCTGATGTAAATGGTAAGTGTGTAATAGACCACTTTTAATGCAGACTTTCCAGACACAAAACAGTGATAATTTATTTTATCCTCAGACCTGGTATTACTATTATAGGCCTTTTCTTTTTCCGAGACGATTGGTGGTTTGAAAAATTGTGTATTTTATGTATCTTACGAAAAAACTACAACTAAACCGTTTGACAGATTTTTAAAGGTAAAAACGGAAATCGGCAGGAATGGGTACTCGGCAATAATGGGTACTCGCACGTTAAGGTCATTGGTAAACGCTGGGTTTCCGGAGAAAAAAGGTTTATATCTAGGTTTTTTCATTTATAAAAAAAAATCATTGAGAGTGATCTCCCATATGGAATTCTCTAGGCGGTGAAAACCAATAAAGCGTGTGTTACAGACTGAGAGGTAAACAAAAGCATGTGTCAGTCATGTGTGTTTTTATCTGATATCAGTCTTCACGAAAACTCACTGGTCCGAAGACCGAGGCCAGTGAATTTTGATGTTGTGTCAGTGAAAATAAAAATTCAAAAAGTCCGATGGGCTTGTTGATTTTAAAAATCATACACAGTCAATACCTGGTATATATTTTAACTGACTTACTTGCTTAAATTTCATTAATATATAAAATAAAAAGAACAAACACGTTGTTGAATCGTATTATTATAACCTGGATGTATTACGTAACAACAGGAACTAGCTAGTAAGTTAGTAACTATTAACTAAGTACGTAAAATGTGCGAATTTCCAACGAACAACTTACCGAAACGCGACAAAGGACGAAAAATGGCGGCATTTCAAAAGTTGAAGTGCGTAAACATGTATTAATTTACAGTTATATAAATGGATATATATATATATTATTTTATTTTTTCATGGGGCCAGTAAAAATTCTGGTGGGCCAGTACATTTTGAAAGTTCACTGGTCCGACTGGCCAGTTAGTTTGAAAAGTTTTCGTGAAGACTGTGATATATTCAACTCTAGAATAATAAAAGAAAAGCAGCGATGGACTTGTTTACATTGTACCGAGGGGGGGGGGGGGGGGGCAGTCAGTCAACCTTTAGAATAAGTACATGCAAAGATGTGAAATAATTATGATGAAAGTGGTGATAGCTAGGTAGACTGAATTAGAACGATTCTATAGGTTATGTGAAGGAGGCACCATTAAAAGTTAATAATAAATCCTTGCAAAAGTGTTTAATGACAGTTCCTTTCAAATAAAGTAAATTATAGTATAGAGACAAACAACCAACCTTTTGATCATTATGAATAATATTTAAATGTTAAGGGAAGTAACTCAAAATCAAAGAACAGTGCTGGTATTTCTGTGTTTTGTTTCTTTATTTGCAATTTCAGCCAAAGTATATGTTTGTCATATGTTTCATTAAACATATTGATTTCACAAAATCTTTAAAGGAAGGCTCGGTTGATCAGGTTGGGCACACACCGCCAAATGGTCATTTAACCCCCGTTTGGTGGTCATTCGCCCATATCGGCGTCTTTATTAACCACCAAATGGTGGTCTTTTTTATTCAAATCCAATTTTCATTGAAATAAAGCAAAAGCGCATTTACTTAGGCATTGGGGAATTTTGATTAACATATTCATCGCACATTTAATACAATTTAGTCAATTTTCCATGTGGAATTTCTGTGGAACTTCGTAAAAACGAAACCCACAGCTGTTCGTGACGGCCGAACTATTACCTCAAACAATACGAAATATTATTTTGTTGTGTATAGTTCGGTAAAAAATACATATAAACAAGAGGTGTTAGTCTAGAGAAGTTACTTTTCAAACGATCTTTCGATCTGCGTCTATATAAATATTGATCAAATCCCGTTAAACACGAGCTCATCGAATCTTATTCGTATGGTGGGCACTTACTGCTATAATATTCATTTTTCTTACATTTGAATGTAATATTTATTCTTTATTTTCTTTTAGGATGAAGTTACGATTTCTGTGCGACCCTTTGTGGTTAAGTATGCATATCTATGTTGTATCTACCATATTTATTAAATATTTTTGAATAAAAATTTTACAAAGTGACATTTGCAATTATTCCTGTTTTTATTCCAAGATTATGGTTTTCGAGTGATTATTTTAACATGAATTCACTGCATATCGCTTTTGTATAAAGAATAAAGCAGTTGCTTACGAAATAAACTAAATAAAAGCGAATTCTTATCCTTCCTCTTATTTTACTTTTTGAAAATTAACACTTATGAGCCTTCGTAGTGAATTCAGTCTTTTGACCCAAGTTTGGAAAAAATCGTCATTTTTGATTGGTTTAGATAATTGATCGGTTGCCCGGATGACAGAAAATATGAAGTGATCAACACGATTGATAGGCTCAACTACGCGCAAGACGGAGGGAATTTTTCTTTTTAAGTAAGAACAGAAAACGTTTCACTTGTTTACATAGGTGACGATTTTGTCAATTATTTGAACGACACTGCGCAAAGAAGTCCGCGTTGAAATTTTAATTTTTTTTGTTCAGAGTACAGATAAATATCTCTATTTTATTCCCCGTGAGTTGAAATTATGCGCCATTTCACGTCATTCCAGAGAAGTGAACAGAACGATTTTTATCTCCCATTTGGTGGTTAATAAAGACGCCGATATGGGCGAATGACCACCAAACGGGGGTTAAATGACCATTTGGCGGTGTGTGCCCAACCTGTTGATGGGTAAGAAAGACCTGAATTGAACATTAAACCTGTTCAAAAGTTCTTGAAAAATTCTAAACAAAATCCAGAAACGTTGCCAATGTCCTTAAAAACTTCTAATTACAGACGAACGGAATGTGGCCCATTTCTAATTCTAAGCTGTTAGTATTTTTTTTTCAAGATGGCGCAACATTCAAACATTAACACGACACATACTTTATCTACAAAACAATACTTACACTGATGAAAAACCACTGTTAAAACACGACGAACTTCTGCTTTTCTTTCTTAAGACTTTACTGGTGGATCTCTGACTAGGCCTGTAAAAGCTGTGATCTGGAATACCGCTTCTGGGAGTTCTACCGTAACTTCTACGTTGTAGTGGTAAACACTAAACACAGGATTGACTAAATCCGCGATACTTCGATTTACGGCAAGCGGTATATCTAGTCCCACCGACTCCCGATGGTCCCGGAATTTTTCTCTTTTCAGTATCCACAGAAACTATTGAAACATTTCAGACACATTTTCTATGTTTTAATGAATTCATGAGTAAGAAAAAACTTCAACAAATTTGTGTATTTATTACTGAACCAGAAGTATCACCTGCCAAAAAGCGGTAAATCTAGAGTGTTGGTAAAATGGGTAGGCAAACCCGGGCCGGGGCAAATTAAAAGCCGGGGCAGATCGAGATTTTTTCAAATTTCTGTCTTCATACTCTATCGATCGAGCTGAATTTTTCAGAATGTATTTAATACATGATTATTTATATTCGCTGCTAAAATTGCCATGAAATACTCTATATTGTAGATTTTATCGGCGATTATTGATTTTCAAGTTGGTAAAATGTTTAGGCAGTTTCCCAAGTTCACAATTTACGTTTTCAGACATCTGCTGCATAAAGTCCATAAAGTTATGAAAAATTCTGGTGTTTAAGAATACATTTTAACTAAAAATTAATATTTCTTCATTGGTTATTGTAATATTTACGTAAAATTACATGTTTTAAGAAAAACCGGGTCATTAAAACCGGATCCGATCACCCGGGACAAACCTGAAAATTCCGGAATAGTTTACTAATGTTTGTCACCTGAAAAAGAAAACGCCCAATTGATTTGTTGGAAGCTTGTATTTAATTTTTCAAATAGATCATTTATTTAAAGAAAATTTGCAGTTAACATTCCCTACCACTGGCTTCAATCTAATCACACACAATTAAGCTCTCTTGATCAATTTGGGCAGGGACCTACATACTAAAGTAGTTAGTATATAGGTCCCTGATTTGGGCAATACAAAATTGGCTTACCTTATTAGGTTAATTATCTTAGGAGAAAAAGCTGGGAAGAAAAGATCACAGTGACATCTTTAATTGACAATTATACTATAATAACAAGTTGAGTTGATTTTCAGGGACCCTATATATTCCTTCTCTGGAGTGAACTTTTTTTAGTTCAGATTAGATGCATCCAGCAGTTGTCATTCTTCTGTATGTTTCTTATATAAATGTAGGTATGAGGTCTTTATGAATAAATGTTTTGTTATATGATCATGTTTTACTTGTCATCTCATCCGACTGGAAAAATTGAATTTAAATTGATAAATAAAAAAGGCTCTTGTGAGGATACCTCCATGTGGTTAGAGCTGGGCAATGTCACAAAAGTGATAGCTAAATCCTCCAATACAAAGAATTGGTTTTAATTATTTCGGAATTTTCGGGTTTGCCCCGGCTGATCGGATCCGGTTTTAATGCTCCGGCTTTTCTGAAAATGCACAAATTCTGCATACTTATAGCTTTTATAATGTAAAACTAATTATATTTCGTTAATATAAAGTGTAAAATATTGGAAAAGTCCACAATTGTAATGGTTTAGTGAGTCTTAATTCAAAAATACCGTAAAACGTCGTATTGATTTTGCCTACCCATTTTATCAACCTGGAAATGAACAATCGCCCAGAAAATCAGAAATATTGCGTATTTTAGGGCGATATTAACAGCGAATACAAAAGAACCTTAAAGGAACATAATCTGAAAATATCAGATTAATTGGTTGAGTATTAGCGGAGATATTTGAAAAATCTCGATCTGCCCCGGCTTTCAATTTGCCCCGGCCCGGGTTTGCCTACCCATTTTACCAACACTCGTAAATCTAGTACTCTGTAATAATCAAATGTGAAAACCAAAAAAAAAAAAAAACTAAAAGGATACCGATTTTTTCGTAGAACAACAATATGAAGGGAAGTATAATTTTTCTAAAAATAAAAGGAAACCCTCATTAACATGCCAGAGAATTTAACTTTACAAAAGGAGAATATTTCAATAATATTATTCTAAATTGTATTTTAAAAATACTATTTTTCTAAGTAAGTAAGTGAATTTTATTTAAAGTCAGCATTTTATACATTGCATAACCGACTATCACAGTTAAAATATCACAGAAACTTCTATTTCTAGTAACCTTTGCACATAATTGAAAACAAAACTGAAGTATAGTGTCCATCCCCGTAGGAACGGAGTGGAGAAGGGGCACCCCACCCCCAAATAAATCTGCCGATATATAGAATACTATCTCATGTCTCAAAATACAATATTAGAAATTAATAATTAATTTTAAACTCCATTTATAACTGTAACTGTTTCGTAATTTTAATAAGTGATAAAATACAATGATAAATCAACTTGTATTTCCATTTGGGCCCATTTGGGTAAATTAACGTGCCGCTAAATCCGTGCAATGGCAACTCGTACGCAAAATATTTCGGATACAATATTCGGGTACTCAATTTATTCAGATTCATGGAATTCATAATTTAACATTAGTATCTTGTTGAAAATGACATGGACCGAATCATAAGTAGATGTAATGTTAAATTATATCATTCAGAAATTTATAACATGATGGCTGACGGAGAAAATTAGGAAGATGTACAGAAACACGGGTCTATTTTTTTCCGTTTAATTTCGCGACTCTAGAGCAGACGCTCTAACCACTGCGCCACGCGGGCGACTCAAATATTACATGAAGAAAAAAAATGTTATTTCAACAATTAACATGTGAAGTTCATTTAATTTTGAGTAAAAGAAAAAAAAGTATTAAATTCTGCCACTGCAATACATTATTTTAATTGACTTGCTCATTTTCAAGGGGAAAAATAAAATTTATATTTGATTAAATTTCTTCTTACAAAAGCTTTGAAAGTTAAATTTTATTTTTTTACATCATACTATCTATTGCAAGTGTCGCCCGCGTGGCGCAGTGGTTAGAGCGTCTGCTCTAGAGTCGCTAAGTAAGGAGTCAATCCTTTTATAACATATTTTTAAAAATGTGTGAATGTTTATTTGCTTATATGTGCAAGCTCGCATAAAAGTATTTCCTTTGTATTGTACCTCTATATTATGTATGTACATATGTATGTAAGAAATAATTCATAACAAAACTTTACGACTTATTTCACCACGCTAGAAATTATTGAAAGAGGTGACTTCTTTTCAGTAGCATGGCTTGCACAACAGTAATACGCATATGTATTAAAAAGGGGAGATACTACCATTGAGTACATGTTCTCTTTTGCAATCTATGCTGCGTCATCCCATGAAATAGATTTCATTATGTATTTTTTTACGTTTACGTTCATTCACAGTAGTTTCTCAACACAGATCGTGATTGTTCCAGGTATTTCACAAAATATCTCCAAATATAGCTTTAAAAAATCGGCAAAATCTTCCACACATGTTATAAAAGAGTGAAAAGTAATTTGCAACTGAAAAAAGACAAAAACAAAGAAAAAATTTGGGGAACGCCCCGAGCGGGATTCGAACCCCCGACAGTAAGACAAAGTTTGGTTCGGTCATATCTTTGCAATAAACGCACGCATAAAAAAAATGAAAACATATATAGACATCTTTAAAGACGCTCTATAAACCATGTATATCCAAGAGAAAAATATTGAAAAACAAAAAAGTTGAAAAACTAGACTTTTTGAATTCACTTCCGTTTGCGACCGGAAGTAGGAACGACAAAAAATGAAGGACGTTCGGCACATCTAAATGTGATGCTCTTTCATGTCCATGAGTTTCAATGTCATATCTTTAGCCGTATTCGAGAAAAGTAGTGTACAAAAATCCATTTAAAAAATACAAATTTCCCCCAAAATCGCGAATGGAAGAAAATTTTCAAAAAATGAAAAACACGTCTAGAGATATTAACCTGATGCATCTTTCCTGTAAAAATCTTTGAAATCCGTACAGTCACAGTTGAGATATCGCCATAAAAATGAAAAAAAGAATAATAATAATAGGAAACCGACGGAAAACAATAAGGTCTTCCGAAGGAAGTCGGAAGACCTTAATAAGAAACAATACAATCACTATAAGGTCTTCCGTGAAGACGGAAGACCTTAACTAGGGCTAATTGTAACGGGGACCGTTACAGATGTTCCCCAAACGCTCCCCATGTCCCTTTTCGCGCCATAGCTTTTCCTGTAACACTTTTTATAAATATACTAAGTTTTTAAGGATTTCATATAAAGATATAAAAGTTACAATGATATCAACTATATATCGTTTAACGTTTTGCTTTGGCGCACACGTACATGTACATGCATATGTAAGATGATCATGGCATGTTGGTTAAGGTTACATCTTTCTATCCCGCGAATAATAGAAAAAAATACAGATATAAAGTTACCACATTTCAAGTATATATCATTTTTTGAAATACCTATTCACATTTAAATTCTCTACTGATTTTAATCTCGGGCTCAAAGTTGGTTTTATTCCTACGACAAGGCAGTGTTAAAGTCGACTAAGGATATCTCGCCGATAGCTAACCAATCAAAATGAACTTAGTCAATTTTAGTTCCATACATAGAAAAGGGATTTTCCTTTAATCTGTTCAGATTTTTTTTAGATATATTTCCTCTCTGGTCATTTTGACAACCCTGGTACCTGTGCCTAGTAAATTTTATATACTATGTAAATAAATATATACATGTAAAGGTTTTTGACCGGAACTATTCATTTTTTCCAATGCATAGGAGGCTACTCTCTGGGGTTTACAATAGATATTTATAAAGACATTCGCATCAGCTAATGTGACCAATATTCTTTAAGACCTTCTTATTAATATATTTTTCATGAATGCAAATACCTGATAATTTTTTTTTACGAAGGAGCGTACATGTAAATTGATTTTGAATTTCTGGGGATTGCGTAATTCTAAAAAAAAATCAATTAAATTTCAAAGGTTAAATAAACAAAGGATGCTTGGTATTAAAATATTGTTTCAAATCAGTAGAATTGAATGCTATTAACGACATCCGAATAAATACATGTAAACATATTAGGCTTATATACCAACTTTGTTCATCTGTACTTTAATTTCAAA